TATATATATATATATATATATATATATATATACAGGATACATTGTAATATAGTCTGCATACATTTTAAGAATGAATTCTTTGACTAATTCGAAGCTAATTTTTCTACAGCGAAAATTTAATTGAACGCCATCTTTCTAATTCTTAAAATTAAATGCCTCGGTAATGAAATAGTCTCAAATTAAAATCTTATTAAAGTACACTTGAACTTAAATAAGAAGTAAGTTTTCGTTTGTCTATCTACTTGTAGCTTTGAAACTTAATTTTGCGAAGTGGTGTCGGTTTTCAGTTAATTATAATTTCAAATTGAGGCCTCAATATTTTTGCTACGAAAAAATCGACTGCTTGATCAAATTAGAATAAAGTTTCTCAAAGAATCTCATTTTGTATCTTTAACATCTTACGATATATCCTGCATAATAAATAATAATAGATAGAAGAAAGGGATTCTAACACCGATGACATTCACAAGAGCTGTCGGAGAAATCTCCGGAAAACATTCACCGCTTCGCGACAGCGACGTCGCGCCTTCTTCTTCTACTCCTCTTCCGTCGTCTGCCTCTTCTTCGCCTTCTTATGACTCTATCCGTATTGTTGACGACGGCATTGCTATTTGCTCCCCTGCGACGTCGACGTCGGAGCCATTGCGTGGTGTACGGAGTCGATTTTCGGACGCATCGCCAATCGTGACAATCTACCAGCTTCGAATCGCCGTACCATCTTCCGTGACAGATCGAACTGGTCGATTGGCTGTATTGATTACTGCTACCAGCAATATTGGTCGATAGTTTCCACTTGTTCACGCCCACGTATTTGTCCAGACTCTCGTTACCGGGACGCTCCACGCAAATGGATAAACCTGTGGTAATTTCAATCGCTCATCATTTTTGTTTATCAACGGCACGTAATTTCAGTTGACATTACGAATTATTTTTATTTCTTCGAATTCTAATGTATATTCTTAGTTTCTAACTTTTAATTCCTTTCCAACATCTATGTAGTATAATTCTAAAAATATTTCAAAATTAAAAATTCTGTAATTATATGTTTATTCGGCAATAAATATATTTTTCTATTAATATAATTAATCTTTTTTAAACGTACGTAACATAAACATGGAAAAAAAAGCAATTGATTTGATTTATCTTATATTAATTATAATAAGAGAGGCAAAATGGAATTAAATGAAAAGATATATCTACACAAGGTGAGGAAAATAAGATAGCTAATTTAACAGCGACATAGAGATAATAAATAAGCCATCATCAAAATAACTTGCTTTCGTCCGCAGATTTCCGCATTTCGTGGCTTATCTACTTTAGATACGTCGCCCGTAGGAAACAACCGTTATCTCCACCACTGCATCCAGTACATCCGGTCGATTCCTTCGTGATAACAACCGTCGTAGAGTAATGTCGGGAGCTACGCTCTAATTTACATGACGTTACGTCGCGCAACCGTGGTGCACGTTAATTGAGACTAGATCGAGTCGCTTCATTTCCACGTTAGCGACGCGATTCATCATTATGCGAATTTCGTATTCAAAATTTGAGGAGTTTAGATTCCGTTAAAGGCATCGTCTTATTACATGATTTTAAGCAAAGGATTCCATTCCTTAAGCTTCCTTTGACAGGTATGACAAAATCAATTTACAAATAATTATAATTATAAGATTAATAGAATTTATCGTCACTTTTAAGGTCATTAAATTATAGAAAAATATTCAATTATAATAGATATATCCTATTCCGTAAAGTGGTAATTATGCGTAAAGCATAATTATTATATATATTACTATTATATATATA